CCCCCCCCTCGTTTCGATCAATACTATTTTGTCTCAGGAGCATTCTTTGTGTCTCTCTGTCGCCCATGTGCTTTCTTGCGCGCGTGCTTTTCTTCTGTGCGCCCTCTCACTTATCATGCTATCTGGCCAGACGGTCTCGAAATGTGTTGCGTTTCTGTATAAGTGTGGTGCGTGTTCAGCTGGCAGCTCGACGTGGCGGCAGGGCTGGGACGTGTGTGGGCGGTCGTGCGAGGGTTGACTTGAACTGAGTGGTGGCAGGATGCTTATTGTGCGGTCGCTGAACGCTCCAGGTAAGGAGGACTTTTCTCGCGCCCCCTCATTTCCCCCTCCTCTCGCACCACCCCGCACTCTCCGCTACAGTAGTTATATCTCTCATATTATTCCCTTCTTTTGCACCGATAGGCGGGGAGAAGGGATAGGCCGGGGCGAGGCGAGGCGGGGCGGGTAAGAGATCGCTTCGAAATCTTGCAATGTGGTCAGTCGCGTTGATGTTCATTTTGTGAAGTGGTTGGGATGCGGTGAGAGTAATGTTGCACTAGTTCTGTCCGAATTCAAAGGGAGCACTGGGCGATTCATTATTTTAAGTGTTAAAGAGAAATTTATAAGCCTGCGACATTAGCAGTGGCGGTAAGTTTTGCTTTGTTGAATGTCTGTAGTGTCCTGAATGGAGCGGGCCTTTTTTTTCGGAAATTATTATGAGCCGGCAGGTAATCGAGCCATTCCTCTTAGATCAACGTGTATCAATCTGCCTGTTGAAGCAGGAATACACCTTTCTTTTCTTAGCTGCTCCCGCCAGGTGTTCCACATCTTTTGCCTTCTTTGCCGGCTTTTTATGTGTTTTTAGCGACACGTAAATTCGCAGCGTGGTTCTTGAGCTGTGCAGCTGAGACTTCTCCAGGTGCAGCGCTGCAGCGCCTGATAGGAAATTTGCCGACGGTGCTGTCGTTTGCTTTGTCTCCTGAAGGGTTTGCTAGCTCTTGGCAAGGCTTTAGATGTTTCGAGCTATCCTTCTCGCGTGTGCTGGGCATCATCGCCTCGCCTTGGGCGGTAAGACAGAACGGAGCAGTGAGAGGGAGATCCACTGAACTAGTGGCGCAATTGCGTCAAGGGAAATAAAAA